CCACTCTGCCCCACTTGGGGGGACTGCAAAGGGGCCCCCTGTGCTTCACAGCCTGGAACGGCCTTGATGCTGCTCCTCCTTCTCTCTGCAGGGACTCCTGCTCACCTTCGCTTACAAGAGGTACAAAATGGGAGTGGAGGACTTTGCTCAAAGCTATGCTGACCCCAGCCCAGGGGTTCCGACTCCCTACTCCAGCTATCCCAACATTAGCCATGAGAGCTACCAGCAGCCACCCTTCACGCACACAGCGGAGGCCCCGGAGGGCTATCAACCACCACCAGTGTACTGAGCCCTGGCTGGAACCCGCGGGACAGCTGTACCAGTGCAATTCCTTTTGCGGGGTGGGAGGGAGGGATCTGTGACTTGGAAGGGACAGTGGGGTGGGAGGGTGATGGCTGCTTTTTTTGAAGGTGACTGGGCCTTTTCATGGGGTGCAGGAGGGGCTTCTGTCTGGTCCCAGAGCTGAGATCCTCACTGGAGGGTCCAGAGCCCAGTGTGTGATTTGGTGGGTGATTTAACACATGATGATTTGCAGCTGCTGGGTGAACACTGCAGCTGCAGGAGGTTGGGTGCATGGGCAGCCCTGGCATGTGCAAGCCTCTGCTTTTGCTGTGGTGCCTTGGTGGTGGGCTGTAGTTCACACCCCCGATCCTGGCCAGGCTCTGCCCCTGTGACTTGCCCTGGCCCATCCTGTCTCCAGTGCCTTTCAGCCCTGCTGGCTGCATTCCCCCAAGTGCTGTCTTTCGCTCTCATTGCCGTAGCACAGCCAGGCCCAGCTCCTGCCTGTGCTGGCTTCCCGTGCCTTCCCACATCAGCTGCTTCTGGGCGAACTATTGCCAAAGCCCCGTTTTCTCTAATGCCGTGCCGTGCCTTCCCCCAGCCTGCACTAGAACAGCTGGTGCTTGGATGATGCGGTTTGGGGTCTGCGGGAGCAGCGAGCACTGAGATCCCTCAGCAGGGCCATGGCTGAGGACAGTCCTGGAGCACTTTATTTCCCTTGTGTGCCTGCCCGAGCGCTGCCTGTGCTGCTGCAAGGCTGAGCTCCTGCACTCCTACACCCAGGCTCCTGCCTGCCAGCCACACCTGGAGCCTGTGGGCTGTTGTCTCGGGTTGTGTTTGCTGCTGTGCTGTGGTAAAGCTGTTCCCAGCAGCTGTGTGGGCCATCACTGCTGGGGCCAGCCTTCAAGTAGTTGTCACTGTAGGGCTGGAATAAACTTTTTCACCAAGCCACCACGTGAGCCACCATGTGCCTTTTGTCTCGGGGGAAGCAGAAAAGGCTCCTTCCTTCAGCCCCTCCAGGGCCTGGAGCATCAGGTGGGGCAGTGCAGCCCCTGCCAACTGCTGTGCTGCAAACAGCACACTCCTGCTGGTGGCTATTTTTAGGCCACCCTCCTGGTGCTCCCTGGCCTGAGCAGCCCTCCCACCCTGTGACCAGCCCATGCTATCTCATTGGTCACAGCCAGGACTGGTAAAAATGCTCCGGTAAAAAACACACATGGGTTCATTAACTTATTTATTAACCTAAAGCAGCAGCAGAGCCTTCTCCAGCCCTGGGGGAAAAGCCCAGGCCTGGCAATCAAGTGCTTGTGAATACAATAATTCTCACCTGTAACATGGGGGCAGCAGGGGGACTTCAGGCAGCTCTTGGAGCCTTCCAGGGCACAGGCAAACAGCAACCCTGGACTCAGATGCAGAGGTCTGCCCTGGCCAGAACAAAGAGCCTGTGGATGCTGGAAAAAACCAATTCCAGGAAAAAAACACTTGCAGGGAATAAGGAAGCAACAACCTTCCAGAATGTAACAAAGAGGGAAGAGGATCCTTCAGTCAGGTTAGAGCAGACTAAGAGTCAGCCTTAAGAATTTTGGAAGGCTGAGGAGAAAGCAAGAGACATGACTAGAGCAGAAAAGCAGCTCTTCAGGAGAGCCCCTTTACCAAGCAGTTGGATCTTCCCTGGAAAAATTGGTTCAAACTCTGAGCCTCCAAACCTCTCACAGGTAACATAGTACCAAAGTGGAAGCAGCAGCCTTGAACCTGAGAAAAACTGCTCTGAATTTGGAGGAGGCTCTTCCTGGGACCAGCTCCTCCAAATGAGTCTGTCACAGCCTGCTAGAACGCAGCCACCAGCCCTTTGAGGTTCAACACCTCAAAGAGTCAGCTGCTAGGCCTCCTCCACCTTCTTCTGTTCAACAGTAATTGACACCAGTGAGCATGCTGGCAGAGAAGCTGGGGGCCTGCCCAGGCCTGGGCTGCCTTGTGTGTCAGTTTAAAAGCTGTGTCACAGCTCTGTGAAAAGGGACAAGTTACCTCAGACCATTAAGGAAGGAAGCTAAAACTTGCAGTTAAAATACTAATGGCTGTACATTGTCTTGAGAAACTTGGAATTTAGCAACAGTGCACAAGAGAGAAGGGCTGCATTCACAGGCACCAGAAGCAGCAGTGCCAGCCTGAGCATGCTTAGACTGGGAGAGCTGGCCAGAGCCACAGTGAGCGGCAGCAGCACTGTGGCCTGGCTTGACATGCAGTGCCCCAGGGCCTGTGTGTGGCAGCATCAGTAACTGTGCTGGTCTCTCTCCTTGTTCTGAGATGGGAATTCACTCTAGCCGGGCTTTTGCTTCAGCTTCCACCAGCATCAGTGGATCCTCAGTTGTGGCGCTTGGTGCAGGGAGGTTGGGTAGGCAGGGCTGAGGCACTGAACAGTTTGTTAAAGTACAGAGAGGCAGACCCGGTGCCTGTGAGCCACAGCACTGAGCTCCCTTCCCCTCCATTTTCCCAGCAGTCAAGTGAAGATCTTCCGAGGGGCAGCTGTCTCCAGCTGCCTCAGGGCCAGGGGCACATTCTCCTTGTTCTCTGGCCCAGCCTGCTGGGGTCGCTTGCGGAAGTAGCAGGCTCGGCACACGGAGTGGTATTTGTCAGCTCCTCCAATCACTTCAACCTGGCAGGGAAATTTGGGGAATGACTGCAGAGCCCAGCTCCCTGGAGGGAGTCTCTCCGTACCAGCAGGACTGGAAAGGTGAAACAGTTTCTGTTCCAAGGTGACTCACCTCCCGCTCTGCTCCCAGCCTCTTGGTGTAGGAGGCCTCCCGGAAACACTCCATGCACACAGCGTTCAGCTTCACCACGCTCTCCGCCAGTGGCACCAGGTTCAGGATGCTCCCAAAGGCCTGTGTGAGACAGCAGGGAAGATGCTGCTGGGTCGGTTCCACGAGGGTCCCAAAGCAGCTGCTGTGACACAATGAGTGTTTTACCTTTCTCTGGAAAGTCCCATCCAGAGCAGCAACAATGACAGTTTTCCCAGTATTGGCCATTGTCTCGCAGAACTCCACAATGTCTGGGAACTGGAGGGGTACAGACACATTGTAAAGAAGGCGGGGGGCAGCACTTGGCTCCAGATCCCACAGTGCATGCCCAGACAGCCGCACCAGGAGCAAGGAAAATCAGAGCCATATGCCCTGCCTGTGAAATGGGCTGCAGTCCCACAGTCCTGTCTGCAGGGATTATAGGGAAGAAGGCTTTGACTGTAAGCACAGGCCACATGGATCAAACCGCCTCAGGGCATTACTTCCCCCCTTCCTACAAAGGACAGGCCTTGGTGTGCACAGGGTGTACCGAGGAGTCTGTGTCCCGCAGAGCCCAGCAAACCCATCCCATCCACTTACGAACTGTCCCTCATCGATGCCGATGACGGCAGCGCCCAGCGCTTCCTGGTAGACGTCCTGGAGGAGCCCAGCGGGCAAGGCCTCCATGGTGCTCCTGTGGGCAGGGAGGGAGTGAGGTGGACAGGCCAGGCAGCCCCGTGGAAGTGGGGTGTCCTCCTGCCCCGGGAGCTCACTTGTCGTGTGTGGAGACTCCGGAAGAGCTGTAGCGTGTGTCCTTGGCATACTTCACCAGCAGGCACTGGTACTGGGCGAGCTGGAACCGTCGTACTCGCCGCATGAGTTCCGTGCTGCAAGACACAGTGTCAGCGGGCCTCAGCCTCAGCCCGCTGCCTTCCCGTGCTCCAGCCCTGCGCCTCCCGCTCCGTGCCTACCTCTTTCCGGAGAACATGGGCCCGAAGATCACCTAGGGCAGACCAGCGCGGTCAGAGCAGCAGCCAGCGGGAAGCCCCGGCTCCACCCAGTCGGGGGTCCCCGCAGACCCCTCAGCCCGGCGCGGCACCTGTACCTGCCCCCATCCCGTGCCCCGGGCAGTGCCGTACCCGTATCTGCCCCCAGCCCGTTCCCGGGGCAGTACCGTACCCGTATCTGCCCCCAGCCCGTTCCCGGGGCAGTACCGTACCCGTATCTGCCCCCAGCCCGTTCCCGGGGCAGTACCGTACCCGTATCTGCCCCCAGCCCGTTCCCGGGGTAGTACCGTACCCGTATCTGCCCCCAGCCCGTTCCCGGGGCAGTACCGTACCCGTATCTGCCCCCAGCCCGTTCCCGGGGCAGTACCGTACCCATATCTGTCCCCAGCCCGTTCCCGGGGCGACACCGTACCTGTATCTGCCCGCGGGGCCGGCTGGGGGAGCCGGGATGGACACCGGGCACCGTCAGACAGTTCATGGCGGACTGCCGGCTCGAGCCCGCGCGCGCCGATTCAGCGCGGTCCCGTCAGCCAATCGAAGGAGGCCTCTCCCTCACGCGCCGCAGCGCTAGCCAATCGCGAAAGGGCTTGCGCCGCCGCGCGGCAGCGCTGCCCAATGGAGATCAAGGGCGCCAAAATTTTTATTTTCCTCTGCCCGCCGGCTCCGCCCTCCCGGTCGCGAGCGACCCCACCCCCGGGCTCTGGCCCCGCCTCCACAATCTGGCCCCGCCCCCGAGCTCGGGACTCGCCTCCGGGACGACCAATGGGAGAGCGTCCGTCCGCCCACCTCCCGCCCAGGCCCCGCCCCTCGGCGGGCAGGCGGCCCGGGAGCGGCACCGGGATCGGCACCGGGAGCGGCCCCGGGAGCGGCCCCGGGAGCGGCCCCGGGAGCGGCCCCGGGATCGGCCCCGGGATCGGCACCGGGAGCGGCACCGGGATCGGCACCGGAAGCGGCCCCAGGAGCGACCCCGGGATCGGCACCGGGAGCGGCTCCACGATGGGTGGGTGGCGGGACATGTCCCCGGAGGTAGGGCCCCGAGGCAGGTCCCGCGGGTGAGCAGAGCGCGGTTCTCGTCCGGGCCGCCGGTTGGGGGTTTTGGCGTGGCCCCGCCGCTGCCCCGGTGCCTCCCGTTGCAGGCGCTGGAGGACCATTACTCTCCTAGTCGCTGGTCCCCCCGCCTGGACCGGGACACCATCATCGACGCCCACCTCGCGGTGACGGCGGCAGGTGGGGATCGCGGCGCCGGGAGAGAGGCTGCGCTCGCTGCCGCGGCACCGTGCTGCACCGCCTCCCCCCCGCAGGAACCGAACGGGCCCGGACCAGCGCGCGGACCTTGCTGCACGTGCCCTATGGCACCGGGGACGGGGAGAAGCTGGACATCTATTTACCCACGACTCCTTCTGAGAGTGAGTGACGGGGTGGCGGGGGCGGGAGCGGGCAGGTTGGACACCCGGCTCATCCCGCCCTGTGCTGCACAGCCTTCCCGGTTCTGGTTTACATCCATGGCGGATACTGGCAGTGCTTGAGGTGAGGTGGGCTGTCGGTGAGAGGTTCCCCGGGAAGGGACCCCCTCACCAATTCCTGCTGATTCCTTCTCCTGACACTGGGGCTTGCTCTGGGTACACGGGGTCTGACCAGTCCCCAGCTGGCCCTGCAGCCCCTGGCTCCCGCAGCCTGTCAGCATCTTTCTCCCCCAGTAAGGACAATTCGGGGTTTGCAGCCCCTCCGCTGGTGTCGCAGGGCGTGGCAGTGGTGGCGGTGGGGTACGACATAGCCCCTAAAGGTAGGTGCTGCCCTGCAGAGGCTGCAGCTGCCTGCGCAGCCCAGCGCCCTCCAACCCTGCCCTTTGTCCTCTGCCCAGGCCACATGGACACCATGGTGCTGCAGGTGCGCCGCAGCCTCGTCTTCCTGGTGGAGCGGTACCCCAGGAACAGGTGGGCAGCTCCCAGGTCAGGGCTTGGTCTGTGGGAGTGGCTGGGGGGCAAACAAAGCCTTCAGCAGGACAAAGGCTTTGGCACCTCAGTCCAAGCACTGGGCAGTGCCTGTGGCCACAATCCCCTGTCACTGCACAAGGCAGCAGCTGATGGATTGGGAAACATCTGAGCTGACACATTCGGGCTGTGCCACCTCCTCTGCACGGAGCAAAGCGTGCCTAGGTGTCCCTAGGTGTCCCTCTCAGTCACTCCCTCCTACTGGCTCACTGCTCCCTCCTTCCAGAGGCATTTACCTGTGTGGACACTCGGCAGGGGCCCACCTGGCAGCCATGGTGCTGTCCACAGACTGGACGGAATTCCAAGTGGTGCCAGATATCAAAGGTAGTGTTGCCATGTCCCAGAACAGGGTGGGGAGAAGAACTGGTCTCCACACCTGGGACAAGGCTGTGGGGCTGATTATGCTAACTGATTGTGAGGTCCCCAGGGCTGAGAGAGCCACCCAGGCTGCAGCTTTTCACCTGCCAGTGCCTCTGCCTCTAGGAGCGGTGCTGGTGAGCGGCCTGTATGACCTGGAGCCCATCCTGCACACCTACGTGAACGACGCTCTGAACATGAGCCGGTGAGCTCCCATGCTGTGGGGACAGCCATGGGGACAGAGGACAGGGAGGCGGTGTCAGTCAGGCAGCCACTCTGCTCCAGCTGGGGAGCCCAGCTGACAGCACGGGCACCCTTGGAGCGAAGGGCTGCATCAGCTGCCATCAGTGTGACTCCTGCAGGGAGGTGGCCCAGAGGAACAGCCCCATGAGACATGTCATCCCGGCAGCGCCAGCAGCCTGTGAGATGCTTGTGGCTGTGGCCCAGCATGACTCCCCAGAGTTTCGCAGGCAGTCACAGGAGTACAACCAGGTGAGCATCAGGCGGTCGCAGGAGCACGGCCAGGTGAGCTCCAGCAGCATCCTGCTCGGCTCTGGTGGGGACACTGCTCCAGGCAGCCCTCACCAACTTACCCAGCTGGGAGGAAGAGCTTCTGTGCTGATCCAAAGCAGTTTCTGGTTCACAAGAGGACACCAGTCCTTGTCGAGACATTATTCCTGCTGCTTGTCCAGGGCAGGTGGAGTTTGGGGTCCATCCTGCGGCACTGCTCTCTCCGCAGGCCCTGCGCGCGGCTGGCTGGTCCGTCTCACTGCTGGATCTGGCTGGTGTGGATCACTTTAACATCATTGAGAGGCTGTCAGAGGACAGCTACGTCCTCACTCAGGTAGACAGGAGGGCTGTGCCAAAGCAGATCAGGTGGGCTGCCACCTCCCTGTGGGGAGGTGCAGGGTCAGGGGCTTTTCACAGGGTTTGGTTCCTCATCCCAGGTGATTCTGAACATGATTTCAAGAGCATGATGGCACCTTGGGAGTAAACAGATGGAGATGGTGCCCCTGTGTGGTGGCAAGGGGCATCTGGTGTCCCCCTGCCTGCTGCCACCACTGTCTGAGACCTGCACTGTGCCCTCTCCACTCAGCCCAGCCTAGGCTGGTGTCCCTTCCCTGTGGTGCTCTTGCTCACTGGAGCGCAGGGGACTGAGGGCTGCAAGGCTCTGTCTGGGCAGCTAGATCATGAAGTTTGTTCCCTCGGTGCCCTTTAAACTGCACACTGGCAATACAGAATAAAATGGGAATTACTGTTGCCTGGGGTAGTGCTTCCCAGGGACCCAGTGAGTGCACACCCAAAGCAACTGCTGCTGAGAGAATCCCTTCTTCCAGTGCAGAGTTCTGGGACTTGCTGACCCAGAACATGACAGGGAAGCCTGTGGAGCCTACCTGCTGCTGTGGGCCAGAATGACATAAGGCTCTGTGAATGCAAGTGACAGAGCCATCTGGGCCAGTCCTTGGACAGTCCTGACCAGACACAAACCTTGTCCTTGCTGTGCAGAAACTCTGGTCCTGTGGCTGAGATGGTCCCATGTCCTCAAGAGCAGTTGTCCCTCCACGGGGACCTTGGCTGTGATGATGTCCCTGTGGCAGAGCAAGGAAAAGAGTACATTTGAGAAAAAACACCCTGCACAGCTACAGTACCACCAAAAGGTGTTTATTTTGTGCACTGACTGCCTCAAGGGCTGGGGTCTTCACTAGGCTAGGCTCACATTGGTTTGTCAGGCTGCCTGTGAGGGCTGATGTCAATTTTCAGATGGCAGGGAACACATCTGGAGCACAAAGGGGCTGGCAGAATGCTCAGGCTCTCCCAGTGCTGGAGGCGTTGGATGCAGTCTCAAGGCCAATTCCTCCTGACACTTCCTGGCCACAAATTCCAGCTTTCTCCTTGCGAGGTCAGTGTCACGGGCTGAGATGTTGTGGTACCAAGAAGGCGCACAGAGTCTGTGCCCGACCAGGGGAGCAGCAAGATGCTGACAGTCTGCCTGGTCTCAGCCTCCTCCTCCTCCTCCTGACGGGACGCAGGTGCTCACGGAGCTCAGCAGGGGACGGCCAGCCCCCTGGACATTTACCATCACAACGTTGGTCTCCACTGCGGCCAGGTTGATGGAGCAGAGGGGAGAGTCCAGCACATGGATACCTGTGGGAGGCCAAGGTGGTGCAAGCCCACTGCCCAGCTACCTGGAAGAGGCTGCCTGCCCCAGCCCTGCCCCGGGTTCTGGATGAAGGAGAGCCCTTTCTCCCTCCATGTGGTACCAGGGTCACTGAGCACAGCACGGGGATGGTCATGGCATGATCCTGGCACTCCGGCCAGGTGAGGATCCCAGCAGCATCCTCACCCGGCTGGAGACCCAGTGTGGCCATCCAGGAATGGTGTCCAAGCCACCAGTACATCAGCACTGCTGGGCAGTGCCAGGTGTGTTGTTACATCCCAGCACACTCAGGGGACCTGAGGTATGTTCTGCAAAGCTCCAGGCATTGTGGTCTCTGTGCAGCGTTACCTCCACCTGCTGCAGCCTGAGGTGGGCGGCGGCTGCCAGCACTCCCACCTGCCCCATGCCCCTGCCCAGCAGCTTCCGAACATGCCAGGCTTTGGCGACAAACTCCCTGCACCCTGCCAACACCGCACCAGCCAGGGCGCCCATGCCCTGCAGAACCACCAACGGGGTCACTCCAGGTGTCCAGGGGCAGCTGCCCCTCCTGGGCTGGGGCCCAGCCTGCCAGGTTCTTAGCCTAACACCTGCAAACAAGGGCCAGACTCCAGCTTGTGCTGTCCCCTGCCAGCCCTGGGGACCCCTCCCCACACAAGCCAACCCTGGAGAAGCAGAGGGACACAGAGTCATAGTGCTGGGCAATCTGAGCTGGCTCCACACCCTGGGCCACCGCTGCATTCATCAGTCATGCGCCATCCATGTGCACCCGCAGCCTGTAATGGTCTGCAAGCCCACGGACCTGGGAGTCAGGGGGACAGCTGGTTTGGGAAGGACCACTGGAACACCACGAGCCATCTCTGAGCTTCAGTGTCCCCGCAGTGCCATTGTGCAGGGCCCAGCTGCCCATGCCAGGCAGGATTGTGCCAGGACCATCTGTGGGCTCTCACCTGCCTGAGACAGGTGAGGAGCAGTGCCTGGCCCCCCCACGAGTTGTGCATGTTCTCCAGACAGATGAGCTCAGGATACGTGTGGTACCGGCTGCCGTGCGCCTCACGGAGAGTCAGCTCCAGCTGATCCAGGTCAAACCTGCCATTTGGCAGATCTGGCAGTGCCTGGGAGTGCACACCTGTGCCCAGAGCACAGAGCTGGCAGGGGACAGTCATGGTGCACGGGGGCTCCGGCCTTCTGTCCCCTCCGTCAGGTGTGTACAGCCCCCACTCGTGCTGCAGCCCGTGGCTTGGGACAATGATCCAGGGGATGCCCTGGCAGCGGATCCTCTGCCCGGCCGGGCCCTGGCAGCAGAGAAGGGCAGCAGGCGGCCGCCCTCCTGCCATCGTACCCACCGCCACGGACCCCGCGCTCGCCTGCGCGGCCCCGCCGTGCCCGCAGAGGTGCAGGTGGGCGTCCTGGCCCGGGAAGGGCTGAGCCCCGCCGCGCTGGCAGTGGCACATCACTGGGAGAGAAGGGCCGAGAGGGACGGGGCCAAGGGCAGCACCCCACAGCCTGGGGGCACGAGGGGCTGCGAATGCAGCCCCGGACTCGCCGGCGATGAGGTTCATCATGGTGGCCGTGGGCACGAACAGAGCCGATTCCGTCCCCACAGTCCCCGCGGCCCGGCGCTGCAGCTCTGCGCGGGGACACGGATGTCCTGGGGGGCTGGCGCTGGGCAGGCCCAGGGGCTTGGGGACCCCACAGGTCCCGGCTGCGCCCGCAGTCCCGCTCCTGGCCCCTCATCCCGCTGCCCCCGGGTCGGGGGCTTTGCAGACAGCCCATTCACTGCCGGGTCCTCCCCGTAGTCGTCGTCGCCCACCGTGGCGAGGGCCACGGCGCATCGCCGCGCACGGCCGGGTCACCGTGTCACTCCGCAGGTCCACGACAAGCGGCAAGGCTGCGGCGGGACCCCGCGGCTCCGTCCCCCCGGTCATCCTCCCCGGCCCGGGCAGCCGCCCCCACCGCAGCACCGCCCGCACGGCCGGGACCGCCCCCCGCAAGGGCTCCCGGGCGGGGGCGGGATCGCCCGGCCCGGGAATACGGGGCGGGAGCGGGACGCCGCGCGCCAACCGGGGCCGCCTCGGAACGCCGGCCCTACGAGCCCCCATCCTTCCATCCCCCACCACTCTGGCGCTGGGGAACACGCTGGGGGCTGCCCCGGCCCCGCACTGCCCCGCGGCCCCTCCCCATCCTGGGTGTCCCACGGGAGGGAGCGCCAGGGGGATCCTGCCGAGGCTTTTCCATGGCTGAGCAGGAATTGCTCCCGCCCCGCTGCGCCCGCTGCCAGCGAGGCTGGCACGGGATCGTCTGGGCGCTGGGAACTGGCTCCGGCTCTGGCTGCGTCTGCCCTGGCAGCAGCCGACGCGCAGTCCGATGGCACCGCAGGTGGGCTGGCACTGCAGCGGTGCTCTGGATCTCTGGGCAGCTACACACGTCTCGGCACTCTGCCTCCTCTGAGGGGACCCACCGGCCTCTTGGCAGAAATCCCCACTGCCCCTCAGCAGGAGGGCGAGTATCCAAAGCAGTAGCGAGACCCCCTCACCTCCCCCCGCTGGGCTGGAGCAGCCCTGCTGCTAGCACGGTGGAGGCACCACTGCAGCACGCAGCACCTCTCCTGGCATTTGCAGGAGATCAATAGGGCAGGTGCATTAAGGTGCCTCTTACCCTCAGCCCCTGTCCCCCTGTGGGTGTTGTGTGCTCCAGCCACCAAGCTGCTGCCTTCTTCCCTCTGCCACGTGCCCCCCAGCCTTGGCGGCCCCAGGTTCCTTATCCTGAGCCCCCTGCAGCCACCACACTGGTGCCCGCTCTGCCCATCCCCCTGCCTGTGCCCTTGTCTATGGAACACCCTCCCTCACTATCTCCTGTCGCCCTCCGTGCTGTCAGCCCCGCAGATGAGTGAGCCATAAACAGTCCTTCATGAGACGTTTTTCACACGCAGGGCCACATGTTAACAGTTTTTCTTTATTTACTGCCTCCATTTCCTCTTTGTTCCAGGAACTTGTCCTCCAACTTCAAGCTGCTCATGATTAGGCAAAAAGGCCTCTAATCTCCCCGATCTGATTTACCGTCACTGGGAGCAGACGCTTCCCGTTACTGGTCCTGGACCTGGGAGCATGGACAGCTGAGCTGTGCCGGCTGCTGAGCCCAGCTGAGCCTCCCCAAAGCTGCCCCACCACACACACCGCCTTCCCGGCAGCTTCCTCTTCCAGTAAGTGCTGGGCAGTGCAGCCGGTCACACCGCAGGTGAAGGGCTGGGGGAACAGCAGCTGTGGGGCCCCAGGCCAGGGATCTCCCCGCCTCCACCTGGGGCAGCTGATGTAGGGCAGGGCAGGCTTTGGAGCCACTTTCTCTGCCTGGAAGGGCTGGATGGCTGGAGCACCCCTCAGCATGGCCTTCCCAGCCACACTCCCATGGCACCTGATGGGTTGATTGCCCTCGTGTGCCCAGAGCTGAAGGGCAGCTCAGGGCTCTGCTGTGGGCAGCCCCCCAGCCCAGTCAGGGTCTGCAGCCAAGCAGGGGCTCCTTCACTGGGCAGCAGCCACAGGTTCTGCAGGACTGTGCAGTGTGGCTGGGTGTCTTCCACAGAGCCCCTTGTCCTTCAGCCCTGTGTCTTTCCCTGGGACTTTGGTCTGGGACCTGCCTTGGGGGTCCCCCCTTGCTACCAGCACCCACAGAGCTACCCCTGCCTGTGACCCAGAAGGGCCATGGTGGGGCTTGATGCGGCCAGCACCATGGAAGCGCTTGTAGCCTTATGTGGAGCGGCTGAATGGATGCCACGGGAGCTGGGCAGAGGGTGGGCAGTGCCAGTTTCTGGCCACGGGCTTGGCTGGCAACTGGGGACTAGCAGGGGCTCACCCAGGACCACATTGCACCAAAGGACTGCAGTCATCACCTGCCCACACCAGCTCCTGTGGTGGGCTAAGCCCCTGCCCCACTGGGCTTAGCTCCTGCTCCAGTCGTGCCTCCCCAGGGCTAAAATTAGCAGCTGAGGCCTGGCTGGGGAGCCGGGAGTGGAGCCCAGATCCCACCGCGGAGGATCGGGTTTCCCCCCTCCCTACCACAGGCCTGGCAACCACTGGGGCCGATTCCCGGAGCTGGGCCCCCCCTGCTACCAGCCCCACTGGCAGCCCCATCCCAGGCCTGCCAGGCCCAGCCGCTTGATCAGCATGTCCCCAGGGCTGAGCCAGGGCGCATCCTGGCTGCAGGAGGGGCTGTGGGATGGGGGAGGCAGAGCGCTGTTCCTCCCGGGGCATCATCGGGCTGGGGCTGAGCCCTCTGCCCCTAGCACACATGGTTGCCCTGGGACAGGCTGGCAGTGGGCTCTGCTCCCAGCCTCCTAAGCAGAGCTGGTGGCTGCGGCCATGGAGCTGTCAGTGGCCCAGGCAATGCCCCGGGGGTCTTGTGCTGAGCGCCCAGGGCTGACTCAGGACCTGGCCGTGGCCACAACGTGCTCACCATGAGCTCAGGGTGCTTTCCTGCCAGTCTGCGAGCCCTGCGGCAACACTGTCCATGCTGCACGTGCTGCTCACCCTGTGTGCCCTTTCGGCTCCATGGCTCGTCCCAATGGGTGTCACTGGCCCTGCCCGTTCTGGAGGGCCCTGGTCCCATCTGGGCTGAGGCAGCTGCTGTCCATCGCCCTCGAGGGACCTGAGCCACGGAGCCGAGCAGTTTTCTGCTGCCGGGAACGGCAGGGTGATGCCCAGGAGCACTGGGAGCGCTGGCTCCAGGCTCAGCCGGGTCGGGTAGGGCACCCGGGACCGGGACCCCGCTGCACTCCCGGGTGCCGGTGACATGTCCAGAGCTGTGGTATCGGCCGAGCTTCGGCCCGGGACAGGCCCCCGACGGCTACAGTCCCGGGGCTGCCGGGGCCGTGGCCGGCGAGGGAGCCGCGGGTGCCCCGGGGAGCCTCGGCCGGAGCTCCGCGCGGGCCGCTGCCGGAGCCCGGTGGCCGCGTGGTCCGGGCCGGTGCCCCGTCCCCAGCCTGCGAGGCCGCGGGTGCCCCCCCTCCGCCGGCAGCGACTTTTCCAGTAAAACCGCCGCAGAGATCCCGGCTTCCCGACAGGCCCGGCCTCCGCGCCGGGGGGGCGCCGGCCGCCCTTAACCCTTCCCGGCCCGGCCGGCCGCGCGGTGCCCGCCCGACGGGCGTCTCCGAGCCCGGGACCCGCCGGGTTCTGCCCGCCCGGCCCGGCTCGGCGGCTCCGGGGACCTGCGGGGACTCTGCCCGCCAGGCCCGGGGCGGCCATGGCCCCGCTCCCCGGGGCTCCGGCGGCGCTACTGCGGGGCCGGCCTGACCCGCCGGGCACGGGGCCGGGCCTGGCGCCGGGGCCTTCGCGGCCGCTGCCCTCGCGGCCTCCCCCAGCCCATCGTGCCCCCCGTGCCGAGGGTTCCCCTTCTCTGGGTGCTCCTGAACAGGGGCTGTTCTGCAGAGCAGATCGAACATGCCAAGGGCCAAGGAGCCGGAGAACGGTCGGGGATAAAGCCGCTCTGCACAGGGTACCCCGGTGCAGGCTGCCTGGGGGCTGTGGGGAGGGAGCAGCCGGGGGTCCCTGGGACAGCCCTGGTGCTGGGGGAGCTTTGGGGCACCCTGGGAGAGCGCCGGAGCCTGTCACAGCTAAAGGCTGGTGGCTCCACATCCCTGCCCCAGCTCACCGCGGGGATGCTCTGGCCGGGTGGGCAAACCTAGGGATGGCCAGGCACCGGGGGTCCGTGCCTAGAGCCGTGCCGGGCCATCCCTGCCGTGCCCTGCCTGCCACCAGCTGCTACACTGGCTGAGCCAGGGCTGAGGTAAGTGCTCTAATTGTTTTCTCTGTGGCCCGAGATGAATAATTGAGAGGTCTTTGAGGAGAATTAATTAGCCCGTTTATTGGCAGTAAATGCTTTTCTCCAGATGATGAAATAGATCCTGAGCCACACGTGGGGCAGGCAGATGCAGGTCATTGATGCTGCTCTGGAGCATGCCAGTGCCGGGTCCACAGGCCAGCTGTGCTGGTGTCCTGTGCCCACTGTGGATTGGCACACTGGTTCTGGCTCCCACGCTGCACAGTGTGCCCAGAACTCACTGCACCCATGGCCAGCACTTTGTGTGGGGAGCCTGGTGTTGCTGGGAGCAGGGGGCACTGAGGGGCAGGCAGGGTTCTGCAGCTCAGTGGAAGTCTTGTGCCCCCATCATGCCCATGTAGCTTCCTGTTTCCCCCTGGCTCACACCCCATCCTAGGGGCTCCCTCCCTGTGCAGACCCTGATATGTCCCTTTATGTCTCCTTGGTTCTCCTGAATGCCAGGGTGGTGCCAGTTTGGGGCTTGTAGCCTGCACCTCCTTCTCACCTCCTCTTCTTCCTCCCTCTCCCCTGGGTATGGGGTGAAGGGCCTTGCATGGCCAGAAATGCTTAAACAAGGATTTCCTTGTTGCTGCATGAGCTGTTTGCCTTCTCCTGGGCCAGCCGTTAATGAGGTTTGGCAGGAGGCACTGTCAGCCCCAGGCACTGGCTTTCTATAAATCAGCCTGGAGCTGATGTGTGGGGCTGGTGTGGAGCTGCTCAATCTTGGTGCATGGGACTTCAGCTTGTGGGTCCTGGGAGCCCCTCTGGGAGTGGAACATCCTGGCATGGTGGAGAGGGGCAGGGGCTGAGTGGGCCAAAGGGGCTGCTTCCCACCAGGCAGGTCAGGGCAGTCACTTCACACATTTCCAGGAATGGCAGAAAGTGCAAAGCAAAAAATAAAGCTGCTTCCTATGGCTGAAGTACCTTGTCCTGATCTTTCCCACATGCCCAACTTTTTTTGCCAAGACCAAGAGAGACTGTTGGGTGCTTTGAACTGGGATGATGATCCTGCCCTGCCTTGGGGTGGGGGGCTGTGGCTGTGCATCCCCGGGCAGCCTCAGGCAAGCAAAGTGGGGCAGGCAAATCATCCAGGCTCCTGGGATAGCATTTGCTGCTTCCTTCTGCTGGAAGCAACGCCACAGGGGCAGGGCTGGCATATGGGC